TCTATATATCTATCTATATCTATCTTTTTATATATGACCTTTCCCTTCCCATGTTTGTAAGTCTCTGCAAATACTACATATATTGATAAATATATATCTGTATATCTCTCTGTGTGTATGTATGTGTGTATAATTTTATATATGAATTTTCCCCTCACATTTTTGCAAGTTTTTGCAAATCCTATATAGATATAATTCTCTCTCTCTCTCTCTCTCTATATATATATATATATATACACACACACACACACACACACACACACACACACAAGCCGTCCCCTGCCACACGTTGCTGTGGCCCAGTCTGTGTATATGTGTTTTGTGTGTGTATATATTTGTGTATATGTGTATATGTGTGTTTGTGTATATATGTGGTTTTGCGCATGCATTGTAATGTATTTTTTGGCTTTTTAAGTGTCTTCTGCTGTGCTTTTCAGTGTTTTTATGAGTGATGGTTACTCGTTGGCCTGATAGGTGTATTGTGTCCAAATTTTGTGTCAATTTGTCCAGTGGTTTTTGAGTTATGTTAATCCCACATACGAACATTACATTTTTATTTATATAGATGAATATAGATATATAGGGCTTGCAATTATTACAGGTGGGAATGCACACATACATATATATAGACATATCTAGATAGATATGAATGCAGCTATATAGGGCTTGCAAATATTATAGGGGAAATGCACACACACATGCATATACGTAGAGAAAGAGAGAGAGAGAGCTGTCTAGATAGATATAAACATAGATATATAGAGCTTGCAAATATTGCAGAAGGGAAATGAACATGCAGAGAGGTAGGATTTGCAAGCTTTTCAGGGCGAAATACATATGTGAAATTAGTATATATAATTGTAGATCTACATCTAGCTCTGCATTGTTTATATAGGCATTAACTGTTTACTATGCTGTTTACTATGCTGTTTACTATGCTGTTTATTATGCTGGACGCCGGCCTGAGTCCCAATGGGGAGATAGGGCGGGATATAAATGAAGTTCTATTATTATTATTGACACAAAAGCACAGTATGTCACAGCAAACGAGATCTATATGCTGGATTTCGTATCGCAAAATCACAAGTCGAACACTTCCCAAGCATCTAGGACTGTGTGATGTATTTTTGAATGTTGTTGTTGTTGTTGTTGTTGTTATTATGTTATTGTTGATACCATATTGTTTTTGTTGACCCTACTTTTCCACTTACATAACTAGTTTACTGTTTCTGTTTATTTTCTTGTTTGTTTTTTTAATACGGTAAATATTCAAAAACATTGAACCTACAGATGCCTCAATTAATGTAATTTTATTGGTACATCTATTTTTATTTTGAAATTTAACATTAACTGCTGCATTTCCCAGCCTCGGCTTATACTCGAGTCAATATGTTTTCCTAGTTTTTTGTGGTAAGATTAGATGCCTCGGCTTAGATTCGGGTCGGCTTACACGCAAGTATATACAGTACTCCTCCGTCAATCCTCATAGGAGAGAACTTCGGCCAGTAGGTCTCACTTGGAGCTATCCAAGGTCCTGTTCTCAAAATCCCTCTATCGATGAGGATTCGTGGCTTTAAGTTTCCTGTTGAAACTCAACCTGCCATTGCTGAACGTGGCAGGATTTCATCCAACTCTATGAGGCTATAACAGGACTCTCTGTAATTTTATTTATTTATGACATTTATATGTTGCCCTTCTCACCCCGAAGGGGACTCAGAGTGGCTTACAAGATATATATATACATAGAATATATTATATTATTAGCATAGTGCAATATCAGTGTGCTGTCACGCGCTCGGCCTATAGCAATTTGCTTTTGAACAGGACGTGCTCTTTGTGCCCAACGGGAAGCCGGGGTGCCTCAGCTGAGAGGCCCTAAGGATTTTCCTATACAAAGTCTTTAAAAGTTTGAAAAGTTTAACAAAGTCCTTTATTATTGCTTAGGTCTTCAACAAACAATCAAATACTTCTTAGATCTTTATCAAATCAAACAAATGCTTCTTAACATGTCTACAATGGACAGGCACCTTGCTTGTAGAAAATTTTCTATCCTTTACGAGGAAAACCCTTTTAACCCCTCCTTGGGCAATCTACTTTCTGAACTTTGCTGGTGTGGGCTCTACTCTCGGCTCCAAACTGCTTCTTGGGTCCCGAGTAGACCTACCAGTCAAGGCTTTGTAGATTCTCCAGCTGGAGTCCTTTGGAACTGTTTCCCCCCGGAATTTCGTGAGAAACGAAGCTTCTCTACAGGTAGAGCTGATTCAGATCCTGTAGCTAAGCTTTCAACTGTAAGACTGAGCTAAAATGGCTCCCCTTCCTTCCTGAACCCTGGGGAAAGGGGCGGAACTAAAAAACCCAACGATGATAGGCAGGTGGCTGCAAACCAAGGGAAACCACCTTGTTGCAAAATGCATGGAACTTTGGAATACATGCAAATACTCAAAGAAAGAAAAGGAAGTTGGAGCTCCTGGTACAGCCATACCAGCACAATCAGTATTATATATTACTATATTGCACTACACCATATACTCAAAGCCAACCTTAGAAACTCTGGCATAGACACTGAAAACTGTGAAGTCCTGGCCCTTGAGCACTCCAGGTGGAGGTCAGCTGTGACCAGCAGTGCTGTAGAATTTGAAGAGGCGCAAATGGAGGGCGAAAGAGAGAAATGTGCCCCAACTCCGATGGGGACCACCTTCCATCTGGAAACCAATGCCCTCACTGCAGGAGAACATGCAGGTCAAGAATAGGGTTCCACAGTCACCTACGGACCCACCGCCAGGACACCGATCTAGGAAGACAATCCTACTCGGACAATGAGGGATCGCCTAAGTAAGTACTATGCCATTATATTGTAATATTATTAGTAATATTACATGTAATATAAAATATTTAATTTGTGCCGTCACGCCCAGATCCTATAAAATTAAAACTAAGATATGCTTCTCTCTTTGTCTGGGGTCTTTCTTTAGAAGCTCAAAAATTTTCAGCAACTGAGGCCACTTCAGGTTTGGAACATCAAAACAGAATATTTATTTCTCAAAGTCCTTGCAGACTTGGCACAGCTTGTCAAAATTACAAACAAAACAGTCAATAGGTGAAACCATAGAGATGATCTTTCTTTCTTTTTCCTTCAGTTACTTGAGGTAACTCTTCCCCAAATGGTAGAAAATATCCTGAGATCCTTTCACCCTAACCCTGAGCTATAGCAGGTTTTTTCCCTATCTATAACTCAAGGTTAGCATTGGAGATGAAGTAATGCTCAATAATATTCAATAACTCAATATCTGTCTATGATTCAATAAGCTTCTCTATCTTTCTTTCTATCTATATGACTTAGTTACTCGATTAATTTTTCTATATCTCAGTTGCTATCTATAACTCAATTAGACCCAATATTACTCAATCCCTATTCTATCTATCTATAACTCAATTATATCTCAATTGCTATTCTATCTATCTCAATTAGCTTCTTTATCTATATAACTCAATCAAGACTCAATTGTACTTACAATGATTTTTTCAGAGCTACCTGCCTGACCAACAGCACATCTGAGGCTTTCTTTCTCTACACTGAAGGAGGCTGGGAAGATTCCAAAATGGAGATCTCATCCCCTGGAAAAAAGGCGGTCCCTAGACCCAAAGAGATACTTTTCTGAACCAATAGCTCCTGGAAGACGGAACATAATTATAATATCATATTATTAGTAGTATTATATTCTATTACATTATCTGCTTTGAACTGGAATATAGGGCAGTGTGGACTCAGATAACCCAGGGGCCTTCCACGCAGCCCCATATCTCAGAATATCAAGTCAGAAAATCCCACAATATCTGCTCTGAACTGGGTCATCTGAGTCCACACTGCCATATAACCCAGTTCAAAGCAGATATTGTATCCTTTGGAACTCACAGAACAGGGAAACAATTTCAGCCAAAGTCAAGAAAGCACCGTCCCTTCCGATTCCCAGCTCAAAATACATCCAGGTGGCACAATTGTAAGACCACCTCATCCACGTCCTTTCCTAGGTTGCTTGATGTCTACAATGGTGCTCAAATCACGGAGAAGATTAGGCCAATGTCGAATGGTGAGCAGTAAAGCAATCGTGGAACGTCAGCAGCTCCAAATTTAGTCCTACAATCAATCACTCAAAAGTAAAATAGAGGAATCTGACCATGAAGAACCCAACCACATGAAACTATGGAGACCTTGTTGAGCGAGTGGGCTTCTTAAAAGACTGTCCTCATAAATGCACAACAGAGTTACTTATTAGCAACTGTGTGATCCAGGACCAGTAGCTAAAAGTAATAAAAAGAATAAAAACACAGACCAATTGTTATCTCTTCCATAGGAGGCTTTTCTTTACAGCAAAATAATATGGTTGTACTATTTACAAGAACAAGGTTTCCATAACACAAGTAAAATTCTTTACACTTCCTTCTTTGCTTCCACGCTGGGCTTCTTTCTCATGCAGATAAACAGCTTCACTTTCACAGAGCTTCACCTCACACCGAACTTACACAGGAGCTTCACACAGTAGGTTTGTACACGCAGCAGCCTTCACACTGAAGCTTCACACACAATAATATAATAATATAATAACTTTATTTTTATACCCTGTCAACCATCTCCCCTAGGGGACTTGGGACGGCTTACAAGGGACACGCCTAAGATTACAATTAAACCACACATGTAAAACACTTTAACCAATTAAAACATCAAATAAAACAAATAACAACACCACGGCTTTCAATCTGAAGCTTCTCACACCAGGCCTACTCATACTGAGGCCTATCTCACACTGAGGCCTTCTCACACTGAGGGTTCTCTCAGACTGAAACCTCTCATACACAGAGGCAAACTAAAACTGAGGCCTACTCATACTGAGGCCTACCTCACACTGAGGCCTTTCTCACACTAAGGCCTTCTCACACTGAGGGCTCTCTCAGACTGACGCCTCTCATACACAGAGGCAAGCTAAAACTGAGGCCTACTCATACTGAGGCCTACTAAAACAGAGACCTCTCACACTGAGGGGAACTAAGGCACACCTGATCTTATGAGTGTCTGTTGTTACTAAGCTCACTCGCTCAACAGCCCGTACCACCACATTCTGCATCTCACACAACTTAACCCAGGATGTCTTAACCGATTTTGAGGCACGCCCAAGATTACAATTAAAACACCCATATAAATCACTTTAACCAATTAAAACATCAGATAAAAAAATAACAACACAACGGCCCTCAATCTGAAGCTTCTCACACCAGGCCTACTCATACTGAGGCCTACCTCACACTGAGGGCTCTCTCAGACTGACCCTTCTCATACACTGAGGCAAACTAAAACTGAGGCCTACTCATACTGAGGCCTACTAAAACAGAGACCTCTCACACTGAGGGGAACTAAGCTACAGGCACACCTGCTCTTATGAGGGTCTGTAGTTACTAAGCCCACTCGCCCAACAGCCCGTACCACCACATTCTGCATCTCACACAACTTAACCCAGGATGTCTTAACCCATTTTGAGGCCACTTTACCTGGTCTGAGGGAGACTTGGGTAGTGTCTTCCGGGCTCTGTGAAACTTCATGTTGACATGTGTGCTCTTATGAGTGTCTGTTGTTACTAAGTCCACTCTCCCAACAGCCCGTACCACCACATTCTGCATCTCACACAACTTAAGCCAGGATGTCTTGACCCATTTTGAGGCACGCCCAAGATTACAATTAAAACACACACGTAAAACACTTTAACCAATTAAAACATCAGATAAAACAAATAACAACACAACGGCCTTCAATCTGAAGCTTCTCACACCAGGCCTACTCACACTGAGGCCTTCTCACACTGAGGGCTCTCTCAGGCTGACGCCTCTCATACACTGAGGCAAACTAAAACTGAGGCCTACTCATACTGAGGCCTACTAAAACAGAGACCTCTCACACTGAGGGGAACTAAGGCACACCTGCTCTTATGAGGGTCTGTTGCTACTAAGCCCACTTGCCCAACAGCCCATACCACCACATTCTGCATCTCACACAACTTAACCCAGGATGTCTTGACCCATTTTGAGGCACGCCCAAGATTACAATTAAAACACACACGTAAAACACTTTAACCAATTAAAACATCAGATAAAACAAATAACAACACAACGGCCTTCAATCTGAAGCTTCTCACACCAGGCCTACTCATACTGAGGCCTTCTCACACTGAGGGCTCTCTCAGACTGACACCTCTCATACACTGAGGCAAACTAAAACTGAGGCCTACTCATACTGAGGCCTATTAAAACAGAGACCTCTCACACTGAGGGGAACTAAGCTACATGCACACCTGCTCTTATGAGGGTCTGCTGTTACTAAGCCCACTCGCCCAACAGCCCTCCCCACCACATTCTGCAGCTCACACAACTTAACCCAGGATGTCTTAACCCATTTTGAGGCACGCCCAAGATTACTATTAAAACACACATGTAAAACACTTTAACCAATTAAAACATCAGATAAAACAAATAACAACACAATGGCCTTCAATCTGAAGCTTCTCACACCAGGCCTACTCATACTGAGGCCTTTCTCACACTGAGGCCTTCTCACACTGAGGGCTCTCTCAGACTGACGCCTCTCACACTGAGGGCTCTCTCAGACTGACATCTCTCATACACTGAGGCAAACTAAAACTGATACTCATACTGAGGCCTACTAAAACAGAGACCTCTCACACTGAGGGGAACCGGCACACCTGCTCTTATGAGGGTCTGTTGTTACTAAGCCCACTCGCCCAACAGCCCGTACCACCACATTCTGCATCTCACACAACTTAAGCCAGGATGTCTTAACCCATTTTATGGCCCCTTTACCTGGTCTGAGGGAGACTTGGGTAGTGTCTTCCGGGCTCTGTGAACCTTCATGTTGCCATGTGCGCCTGTACTTTTCTTCCCCTCGCCGTCCTTGGCGCCTTCCCCGTGTTTCGCCGGCAAAGCGGCCTGGGCAAAGGCGCTCAACGTTCTCCCCTTGCCCACAGGGAGGGTTTTAGCGGCATGGCCGGGGAGGGAAGCAAAAGCCCCGCTGTTAGTCCTGGCGGGCACCTCCTGAGCTGTCTGTTTCGGCAAAATGTAACCATTGCTCCCCGTGACCGACGTCTGCGTGAAATCGTTGGCTTTGATGTGGTTCTGCTTCCCGGCGAGACCATCTCTCTCCAAAAGGCCGTTTTCCGCTATCCGGCTCAACTTGGCCACAGAGTTCCCTTGGCTCACTTTGGCGCTGTCCTGAGTGTTCTTAGCTGCACCGGAGTGGCTCTTGGTTTCATTGAACTCGCAAGAGCCGTTGGTTTCGCCATCGGGGGCCATCTTGGGATCCCCAACTTGCTTCTCTATAGCACTTTCATCTGCTGCCATAGCATTAAATCCTAGAGATGGAAAAAGAGAGAGAGAGAGAATGACTCAATGCAGGCTGAAAAGATGGCTTTGTCAGCCATAAACCTATCTAGTCCTGCAAAGAAACTTATGGTGACTTAAAGGAAACCTATCATTGTTTCACATTTATACAAATTATGAACCACTGCCAGAAGGGACAAAGAGTTTCATCTATGCTGACGATCGTGCCATCACCACACAAGCAGGGAGCTTTGAAATGGTTGAACACAAGCTCTCCAAAGCTTTAGGTGCTCTTACTGCCTATTACAGGAAAAACCAGATGATTCCTAATCCATCTAAAATGCATACAAGTGCTTTTCACCTTAAGAACAGACAAGCATCTCAAGCTCTGAGGATGACCTGGGAAGGAATCCCACTGGGGAATTGCAGCACACCCAAATATCTGGGAGTCACTCTGGACCGTGCTCTGACTTAAAAGAAGCACTGCTTGACTATCAAGCCAAAAGTGGGTTCGAGAAATAATATCATACGAAAGCTGACTGGCACAACCTGGGGATCACAACCAGACACAGTGAAGATATCTGCCCTTGAGCTTTGCTACTCTGCTGCTGAGTACACATGCCCAATGTGGAATACATCTCACCACACTAAAATACTTGGTGTAGCTTTTAATGAGACATGATGCATTATCACAGGACGTCTAGGCCCAGTACCACTGGAAAAATTATACTGTTTAGCCACTATAACACCTCTTGACATCCACTGAGAAATGGCAGCCAACAATGAAAGGACCAAGGCAGTGACATCTCCAGCCCATCCTATGTTCGAATATCAGCCAGCAAGCCAATGAATTAAATTAAGAAACACCTTTCTAAGATCTACAGAGATACTTGCAGGAACACCTCAGCAAGTGAGAGTCCAAAAGTGGCAGGTTAAAACCCGGAACCTCAATCAGTGGCTGAGACTGAATGAGAAACTCCTTCTTGGGCACACACAAGACTAGGAGGGTGCTGGACAAACTGAGCTATGGAACCTCGAGATGCATAGCCAACCACGAGAAATGGGGCTACAAAGTGGAGTCCATGACATGTGAGTGCGGAGAAGAGCAAACCACAGACCACTTACTACCATGCGGCTTGAGCAAAGTCAAAGGAAATTTAGTTAACTTTGTGTTTTTAAATACATTATAATTGTACCCTCAATTCGCTTCCGACACGATAAATCTATATAAATAAAAATGTAATGTTTTTGTGGGATTAATACAACTCAAAAACCACTGGGCGAATTGACACGAAATTTGGACAGAATACACCTATCAGGCCCACAAGTGACCATCACTCATAGAAACACTGGAAAACACAGCGGAAGAGACATAAAAAGCCAAAAAAAAAATACATTACAATGAATGCACAAAACCACACACACACACACACACACACATATATATATACATGCAAACACACATATATACACATATACACAAATTTATACACATATATACACACACAAAACACAAATACACAGACTGGGCCACAGCAACGCGTGGCAGGGGACGGCTAGTCTATATAAATAAAAATGTAATGCTCGTTTGTGGGATTAACATAACTTAAAGACGAATTGACACCAAATTTGGACACAATGCACATATCAGGCCAACAAGTGACCATCACTCATTAAAACACTGGAAAACACAGCAGAAGGGACTTAAAAGGCCAAAAAATAAAACATACATTACTAACCACATATATACACATATATACACACACAAATCACATATATACAGACTGGGCCACAGCAACATGTGGCAGGGGACAACTAGTAAATAATAAATCAAGTCTCGACCAATTCAAACCTAGTTTGTGGCAGCCACAAAAATGAAGTTTCTGGAAAATTGAAAAAACATATGTTCTTTGTTTGAAAGCGTTATTTCCTGTTTGATTCTTTACGAGTAGTTGTTCTACTCCAAAGAGTTTTTGTGGCCGCCACAGACTAGGTTGAATTGATTGAGACTCAATGATGAGAGGTTTATTTATTTATTTTATTTACGACATTTATATTTATATCTATATAAATAAAAATTTAATGTTTGTTTGTGGGATTAACATAATGCAAAAACCACTGGGCGAATTGACACGAAATTTGGACAGAACACACCTATCAGGCAAACAAGTGACCATCACTCATAAAAAACTGAAAAACCCAGCGGAATAGACTTTAAAAGCCAAAAAATAAACAATACATTACAATGCATGTGCAAAACAACATGTTTACACATATACACAAATATACACACACACATATATACACATAAAACACATATACACAGACCGAGACACAGCAACACATGGCAGAGGCTGGCTAGTATATAAATAAATATTTATATTTATTGAAAAACTTAAGCAAAATGTGCTGCAGGATGTCCCACAAAAACCAAGTTTTTCCAGTTTAATAAACTTTTTTTTCCATTTTTTAAGCGATGGAACCAATTAGGAAATGTCATTTATAACCTAGGAACAAAAATTGTGTTACCTAGTGCTATCTTACTCAACAATCTACCTTCACAGTAGCCAACGATGCCCAAGGAAACAAAAGCACAGATAGCCTTTTGCTGATGTTCCCCAGCAACAGATATACAGAGGAGCAGTGTTTCAGCAAACAGAGGTAAGATGAGCCATCATAACGGCAGGCAATAATACTCTTATCGTTCTTATCGTGCAATTTCCAAGCACAATGAAACTACAAACTGTGTAAGGAAACACTTCTACGTTTTCTCTAATTTTTAAAAATATTCGACATGGACGTGTTGCTGGTTTTCTGAGACCTAAGTGGTGCGATATGGAAAGTGTAGCACAGATCAGAAGGGCACCATGCAACCCAACAACCTTTCATGCTCCACAGTTACCACCAACTTTATTATGCCTCTGCAAGTGGGTCAGTTTATAGAATCATTGAATCCTAGAGTTGGAACAGACCTCATGGGCCACCCAGTCCAACTCCCTGCCGAGAAGCAGGAATATTGCATTCAAAGCACCCCCGACAGATGGCCACCCAGCCTCTGTTTAAAAGCTTCCAAAGAAGGAGCCTCCACCACACTCCGGGGCAGAGAGTTCCACTGCTGAACGGCTCTCACAGTCAGGAAGTTCTTCCTCATGTTCAGGTGGAATCTTCTTTCCTGTAGTTTGAAGCCATTGCGTCCTAGTCTCCAGGACAGCAGAAAACAAGCTTGCTCCCTCCTCCCTCTGACTGTATCTCACCTATTTATACATGGCTATCATGTCTCCTCTCAGCCTTCTCTTCTTCAGGCTAAACATGCCCAGCCCTTTAAGCCGCTCCTCATCGGGCTTGTTCTCCAGACCCTTGATCATTTTAGTCGCCCTCCTCTGGACACATTCCAGCTTGTCAACATCTTTCTTCAGTTATGGTGCACAGAATTGGACACAGTATTCCAGGTGTGGTCTGACCAAAGCAGAAGAGTGACTTCCCTGCATCTAGTCACTAGACTCCTATTGATGTAGGCCAAAATCCCATTGGGTTTTTTAGCCGCCGCATGACATTATTGGGATTTATGATTTGTTGATTCTATTAATCATATCAGGGTTTTCCCCTGACATGAAGTCCAGTCGTGTCCGAGTCTGGGGGTTGGTGCTCATCTCCTTTTCTAAGCCAAAGACCCAGCACTGTCCATAGACACCTCCAAGGTCATGTGGCCAGCATGACTTCATGGAGCTGTTACCTTGCCGCCGGAGCAGTACCTATTGATCTACTCACATTTGAATGTTTTTGAAGTGCTAGGTTGGCATAACCAGCTCTTAACAGATTTGACTGCAGAACAACATTTTCCCTAAAGATCTCAAAGAGGCCACAGACCCTTGGCATTATTATTATTATTATTATTATTATTATTATTATTATTATTATTAGAAACCCAACAAGATGAGTCCACAGCAGACACTCTGCTGCCATTATTATTATTATTATTATTATTATTATTATTATTATTATTATTATTATATTTTAGGCTGACGTTTTGGCACATTTCAGAATGGGACTTTTTTTTTCCAGAGCCGACAATTGTCCATGAACTAACATGTGTATTACTTCAAACGCAGTGCATTTTCAAACTTTGGAAATGTCAGATCATGCTGGGATTCCTTTCAGAAAAGGCTATAATACTCTTGTGTTTAATGCCTTGATGTGCCAAAGCTAAAGCTATCAAAAGGATAATGAGAGAGACAACAGATAATAAGTCCAAGGAAGGACAAGACGAGGGAGGAAATACGTTCTGATCCTGGAAGGACAAAGAACATCCTCTGCTCAATTATGTTCATACTGAGGATGTACAAAGATGAGGGGGAAGATACATCTAGATATTTCTGCTGGTAACATTCCTATCTAAACACTATTCAGCTCTGGAAAATATCGACTGCAATGTGCAAGATTCGTACATGGCATGATGGAGACAACAAAGACAACTCTGTGTTTATAATCAAATATCTTTCCCAAGAGCCACCATGACAACAAACTGATGCAATGTTTTGATGAGTGCACCAATTAGCCTTAAGGTGGGTAACTGTAACCATAGCTTGACACTACCCAACGAACACATCGCTTGACGTTGACCAACGAACACATCACTTGATGTTGACCAACGAACACAACACTTGACATTGATCAACGCATCACTTGACGCTGGCCAACAAATACATCACTTTACGTTGACCAACGAACACATCACTTGACGTTGACCAACAAACACAGCACTTGACGTTGACCAACAAACACAACACTTGACGTTGACCAACAAACACATCACTTGACATTGACCAACTAACACAGCACTTGACATTGACCAACGAACACATCACTTGACATTGACCAACAAACACATCACTTGACGTTGACCAACAAACACTTCATTTGATGTTGACCAACGAACACATCACTTGATGTTGACCAACGAACACAACACTTGATGCTGACCAACAAACACAGCACTTGACGCTGACCAATGAACATATCACTTGACATTGACCAACGAATACATCACTTGACGTTGACCAACGAACACAGCACTTGACATTGACCAACGAATACATCACTTGACGTTGACCAACGAATACATTACTTGATGTTGACCAACGAACACATCACTTGACGTTGACCAACAAACACATCTTTTGAGGAAAAGGACCTGCCCACCGCATGGAAAGGCCAGACTTGACGTCTCCTGAACTCAGATGCATTTACCTTCCTCTTTGCTGATGGTGATATTTTTCAAGCGTTCACCCTTCACACAGGTATCTCTTCTGGGATCTTCCTTACTCATAAGAGCTCTCTAAATGAGAGAAAGAGAAAGACAGAAATCATATTTCATGTTTGTAAATTAGTAAATACTGTTGGGATACAATCGGCTTCCATTTTCTCCCTTATCTGAGACTCATGATCAGGTTAACGCAGGAAGGAAGATGATGGCGTGACAACAGCTATGCTCAAGAAAACCCTTCTAGACGGTGTTGGACTCCAACTCCCATCAGACACAAGCTTTGATGGGCAATGAGCTATGATGGGAACAGCAGTTCAACAATGCCTGGCAGCTCAGTTTCCCTAGCAGATTAAAGCCTTATGTGGAAGACTAACACTTGGTCAACAGCAGGTATGGGCAAACCCAGGCCTGGGGGCCAGATGTGGCCCCTTGGACTCTTTTCTCAGGCCCTCCTATTATAGGAAACAAATATAATAATTATTACTTACTTTGGGATGTGGAATAAATGTGTAGAGATTCCTACATCACTACACACATATACACTTTATCATTACTTACTTTAATTTGTTATTAAAACAATATTCATAATAACCATACATTCTTTCACTCATTACTTCTATTCCTACATTTAGTTTTAATTCTGTATCTTTAATTCTTAATTTAAAGTAATTAAATAAATACTTTATTTTAAATCACATTTGCATTTTATTAGCTGCTATTAAAATGTCCCAACTTTATTGGTATAATATTTTTACTACAATAATACCACTACAGACATTTTGTAATTAAATACATTTGTCAACTTCCTTAATCTTTCATTCCTTCATTACCAATCCATTTTTCAAATTCTTTCTTCATTAATTCTCATTTTTTCTTATCATTCCCTTCCTCTACTTCCATTCCTTCAATTCATTTGGTATTTCCTTCCTCTTCCTCTTTCCCTTCCCTCCAAGAATTTCTTACAGGTTATATTATTCTTTTCCTAACTTGCGATTTGTTCCCTATTCATCATTCCTTCTTTCATTAACTCAACTCCTTACATCCCTTTGGTCTTACTTCATTCCCATATTTCCTCTGTCCTCTCACACTATCCACACTTCTCATTCCATCCTCCTTTCACTCCTCTTCCAATCTTTACTTTCCTCCTTCCCTTCCTTACCTCCATCCTTCCCTCCCTTTGGTCTTACCTTCCTTCCCTCTTTCCTCTGTCCTTCCCCCTCTCCCACTTTCTCATTCCATCCTTCCTTTCGTCCTTCATTCCCTCTTTCCTTCCTCCTTCCCTTCCTTACCTCCATCCTTCCCTCCCTTTGGTCTTACCTTCCTTCCCTCTTTCCTCTGTCCTTCCCCCTCTCCCACTTTCTCATTCCATCCTTCCTTTCGTCCTTCATTCCCTCTTTCCTTCCTCCTTCCCTTCCTTACCTCCATCCTTCCCTCCCTTTGGTCTTACCTTCCTTCCCTCTTTCCTCTGTCCTTCCCCCTCTCCCACTTTCTCATTCCATCCTTCCTTTCGTCCTTCATTCCCTCTTTCCTTCCTCCTTCCCTTCCTTACCTCCATCCTTCCCTCCCTTTGGTCTTACCTTCCTTCCCTCTTTCCTCTGTCCTTCCCCCTCTCCCACTTTCTCATTCCATCCTTCCTTTCGTCCTTCATTCCCTCTTTCCTTCCTCCTTCCCTTCCTTACCTCCATCCTTCCCTCCCTTTGGTCTTACCTTCCTTCCCTCTTTCCTCTGTCCTTCCCTCTCTCCCTCTTTCTCATTCCATTCTTCCTTTCCTCCATTTTGTCCTTCATTCTCTCTTTCCTTCCTCCTTCCCTTCCTTACTTCTATCCTTCCCTCCCTTTTGTCTCTCCTTTCTTCTTTCCTCTCTCCTTCCCCCTCTCCCTCTTTCTCATTCCATCCTTCCTTTCGTCCTTCATTTTCTCTTTCCTTCCTCCTTCCCTTCCTTACTTCTATCCTTCCCTCCCTTTTGTTTCTCCTTTCTTTCCTCTGTCCTTCCCTCTCTCCCTCTTTCTCATTCCATCCTTCCTTTCCTCCCTTTCGTCCTTCATTCCCTCTTTCCTTCCTCCTTCCTTTCCTTACTTCCATCCTTCCCTCACTTTTGTCTTACCTTCCTCCCCTCTCTCCTCTCTCTTACCCCCTCCTTTCTCTTTCTCATTCCACCCTTCCTTCCTTCCCTTTCATCCTTCCTTCCCTCTTTCCTCCCTCCTTCCCTCTCTCCTCTTTCTCCTCCTCCTTCCTTCCTCCCTTTCTGCCTTCTTCCTTCCTCCTTCCTTCTTCTTCCTTCCCTCTCTCTCTCCTTCCCTCTTTCCCTCTTTCTCTTTCCATGCTTCCTTCCCTCTCTTTCATCCTTCCTTCCCTATTTCCTTCCTCCTTCCCTTCCTTTCATCACTGGGAAGTCAGTTTTCCTAGCAGGAAGTGGTAGCATCCGGCCCTTGAGTTAGAAAGTTTGCCCATGCCTGGTATCGAGTAATGTGGCACAACACACTTTAGATATTGTTGCTCCAAGCCACCTAAAGATTTTCAAAAGTATAGGTAAGAAAACACAGGCTTGATGTCAAAAGACGCAATTCTAGAGCTTGTGAATGTGTCTTCGACAGGTATGAAGCTGAATGCAAGCAAACAGACATGACTGGGACACTACTGGGCATCATTATCTGCTCTTAGGCAGGCTGGCTTCTCTTTAGGTATTCACAGACATCTATTGAAGCAACTCCCTTTCCTTGGAGATCAATGGCGGAGAAATTCATCCAGCGGTTGTCTCCATAGATATGCCTATGCATACAAATCAGATGGAGAAATGGAACAAAAGGATTTGCCTGAACAGTGCGCAGATCCACCTCGCAGCGCGGCCCTGTCATCGCCATTAGCTGCCACTTCGTTACTGTGAACTTGACCTTGTTGAGACCAGGCGACAAGTCCTTTCCCTTGCAAGTGGAACTATAAGATCCAACTTTGAAGAAGGCAAAGAGCAACACAGTTAAGGACGTCGGGGCTTTTTCGGGGTGGTAAGGCAAGCAATATTTTTTAGTCTTGCAAACCGAAGTATAAGGCATAAGGAAACAATGAATTTCCATTAGTTGTGGGCCTGAAATGTATCCCATCCGTTTGATTCAAGGTTCCGGTTTGTTTCGTTCATTCGTATGGCACACAACTGAAAGGTCCCTCCTGGAACGAAAATAGACTCGAAACGAAAGGCAGGCAAGAGCAGGTACCGGCTCCAAGCCCGCTTTTTCAATCGATTGCCATGCGCGTAGGCCCAAACCACCGGGCCTGCAGCCGAGCGCTAAGTACGGAGTGCTCCTTACTCGGTGCTCGGCTGCAGGCACCCCAACGCTTTGGGCCTATGTGCCCGGGATTCACAGGGCATGCAGCCGAGCTCTGAGTAAGGAGCACTCCTTACTCAGTGCTCGGCCGCAGGCCCTGCAGGGCCCAGGTATGTAAACCCAAAGCCTACACCCGTAGGCCCACTATAGTTGAAGCCCCCCACCCCAATAATGGGCCAAAAGAAAATGGATCTTTCGGCCCCGAAAGCAGAAAACGAATATCTGACCTCCCAATTTTGGGAGGCTCAGACGAAATGGATTGGGGACCCCACCAAAAGCTTGGACACGAAACGAATGAACGTAAGCCCTGAATGCACATGACTAATCTCCACATTAGTATGAAGTTATCATACTAATGGTTTTCTCTTTCTGGGATTTCTCTTTCTTAGAATCATCTATATAAATAAAAATGTAATGTTCGTTTGTGGGATTAACAGAACTCAAAAACCACTGGACAAATTGACACCAAATTTGGACACAAGACACCTAACAACCCAATGTATGTCCTTCACTAAAAAAAATGATTTTGTCATTTGGGAGCTGTTGTTGCTGGGATTTATAGTTCACCTACAATCAAAGAGCATTCTGAACCCCACCAACGATGAAAGTGAACCAAATTTGGCACACAGTTCTCCCATGACCAACAGAAAATACTGCAAGGGTTTGGTGGGCAGTGTCCTTTGGTTTTGGAGTTACACCTACATCCAGAAATCACTGTGGACTCAAACAATAATGTATCTGGACCAAACTCTACACAAATACTCAACATGCCCAATTGTGAACATTGGTGGAGTTTGGGAGAAATAGAATTTTGACGTTTAGGAGTTGTAGTTGCTGGGATTTATAGTTCACCTACAATCACAGAGCATTCTGAACCCCACCAACGATAGAATTGGGCCAAACCTCCCACACAGAACCCCCATGTGGGCCACAGCAACACATGGCAGGGGACGGCTAGTAGAATCCTAGTTAGAAGAGACCCATGGGCCATCCAGTCCAACCCTTTTCTGTCAAGAAGCAGGCAAAGCGCATTCAAAGCACCCCCGACAGATGGCCATTCAGCATCTGTTCAAAAACCTCCAGTGTGCATAGGAATTCATTCATTTTTTTTTTCAAATTATAATCCGGCCCTCCAACAGTTTGARGGACTGTGACCTGGCCCTCCATTTAAAAAGTTTGAGAACCCCTGGTTTTGATGTTTGTTTACAATTGTGATTGTTTTATATTTTATCTGATGTTTTTAATTRGTTGTGTTTTATCTGTAATTTTTGGGTTTGTCCCTTGTGAGCTGCCCCGAGTCCCTTTGGGGAGAAGGTAGGCGGGGTATAAAAATAAAGTAGTTATTATTATTATTATTATTATTATTATTATTATTATTTGAATCACAACAAGATGAGTCCACAGCAGACACTCTGCTGGCTGTTGTATTAGATCACACGTCGGACAYTTCCCAAGTGTCTAGGAATATGTGATGTATCAGCKTATAATGATGATAATAATAACAATAATAAGGCAGCCCAGGAACAAGCCATTCGAACCAATACCATCAAAGCCAGGATTGAAAAGTCAACAACAGATCCCAAATGTAGACTGTGCAAGGAAGCAAATGAAACAATAGATCCCATCCTCAGCTGCTGCAAGAAGGTCGCGCAGACAGACTACAAGCAGAGGCATAACACCCTTGCTCAGATGATTCATTGGAACTTGTGTCACAAACACCATCTGCCTGCAACAAAGAACTGGTGGGATCAC